TTCCTCTATTTTTGAAGTGGGACTCTATTTGACAGCATGAAAAACTTTATGGAAGTAAATTTTATTTGAACTCCATGTTCAGAAATGGTTGTTGAAATGGTGTTTGACCTAAATACTGTATTCTTCTAATCTTATTCAAATATTTCTGGCCCACTTATTTATCCGCACAGATCACAATTTACAAAACCACCTTGCCTTTTCGTATTTATTTGGTAAAAGGCTTGCACTATAGTCTTATATTTGGTACTTATAAAAGTAATTTTCTCAACAAAACAAAGATCCATGATCTGGTGTTCATGCATAACAATATGTATTTGCATATGGGCTTTTGCATGAAAATGTTTGACAGACCCCCAAACTTGTGATTCAAACCACCAATGGACAAAGACAAGTAACAAAATAGTCTGTGCATGGCTCAGGGAACTGCCATAATCCCATTGTATTTTCAGAAAAACTGTAAACCAATCTTAATCTTAGACCAAATCCATGCGGAGAAAACCTAAAATTTAGTGATGGATAGAAAAATCCTGACACTCTTATCTTCTATCAGCAAATCTCTTGACCTCTAACCAACTTGTGCTGTGAACTACAAAGACAGAGCTTTGGTTCTCTGGGTTTCTCTGGCATCCTGAGACTTCACCCATTCATCATGAAAAAAGAACCTGACCAACAGCTGCCAAAACATTCTCTCAGTCCTGGGAAACTGGAAGGTATCTTACAAAGAACCCCAAATCAACAAAATAACATGGAAGCAAAGGCATTGTTTGATAATCCCCTAAAATTTAGTTGAATTTTGTTCCAATGTCATAAAAGTAGGAACCTGCAGTCACGAAGGATAATCACAATCTGCTTATGCTAACAGCATATGCATGCCACTCACGCACATACACATGGACACACCAAATATCAGTTTGTTGGATGTTGTTCAGTATCCCACTATTGATCCATCTGGAGCTAATCTAGCCCTACTGGTAGGAATAACAGCAGTCAGTAATACCAATTGTAAACAACCACAGGCATCAGAAACACGACCCAGGTGTGTGTGTGGTGTGTGCGTGTGTGTGTGTGTGCGCGTGTGTGTGTGTGTGTGTGTGTGTGTGTGTGTGTGTGTGTGTGTGTGTGTGTGTGTGTGTGTGCCA